TTCAGATATGAGATTGCACGGGGCTTTTTTCGTCTGTCTCGTATTGTCAGTGACCACTTTAACCAGAGCACGAACCGATGCTGTCAAACACAATGCAGGTGAGGCTAATTTTTATTTTTATTCTTGTTATTTCAACAGCTTATCCCCTTCCCCGTTAGTTATTTTGGTAAAAAAAAAACGTTTCATTTTTCAGACGACTTTGTTTATTTGTTTTTAATATAGTAACTAAGAAACTTAGGCACCTCGAAGTACCCGAGCGGTGGCTAACACCTCAACCAGACGTTTATAATTGGACTCGTTTCAAGCTGAGAAGGGCCTAAAAAGAATCAAGACCGACCCATAAACACGTCTGTAGCTGATTTCAGATCGTTATGTTTGAAAAGACCTTTTCGGTAAAGACGTATATACACGTCAGGGAAAGGGTTACACTGCTATCAAAATCAGTCACAATGAGCAAAAAGAATAAAGTAGAAGTCGATTATTCAACTGTTCACAGTTAATTGTTATTACTATAGATATATTACGGGTGCTTACACATCTTTGAGTTGACATCGTTGTGTTTTAACAGATAAATTAATACCTACTGACCAAGAGATGAAACGTGTTATTAAAATAATTGTGGCTGCCGTCAAGAATCGAATCTGTATTCTCCTTTTAAACCTGTGAAACCGCCTTCAAGTCAAACGTGCTTTACCATCAAGCTATGGGCAGCCAGCAGAGCATAGCAAGACTTAATTATCCTTTGTAAGAAATACATATCTCTCGTTCTGGCCTTTCAAAGTATACATCTGCTAACTCATATTTTCGTATCTGAAACTTCAAGTAACTAATGGATTAAAAAAAAAAATCTGACATTGTATTTCTTATTAATATAAACGTTATATTAACTCGGCTTTAGAAGAAATCCCTGATTTTTAAACAGCAAAATTAATGCCTATTAGCCTGGCGATTGAAAGACATACTAAAGAAAATGTATCCCTCGACAGGAATCGAAACTATTTTTCCCTTTTTTAATCTGAGTAAACCAAGCGTGTTTTACCATTAAGCTACGAGAAGCAATTACAATAAAGCAAGGTTCACGTTTTTTTTAATCATTTCACCCCAAGCAAGGCATTAAAGCCACAAGGGGTTGCTGAGTGTGAATGAATATGAAAAAAGAGAAACGTTATTAAGGAGAACAATCAAAGAAGAGTTCTCAAGAAGACTGTAGATAACGATTGACATTGCGTTTAAATTTTTGAAGATTCAGGGGCAGAGCGTATAATCTGGCATGATCAACAGTTTTGAACAAAGCTAATGCTCTCAAACCATAGATGACGATGACTTGTGATTTCTTGCTTTTACAACCATTGACACCTTCCGAAGAGTTTGATCACAAGGCTTGGACAAGCCGTGGTATGGTTTTCAGGCACATCAATCACTTTCTCACCGACGTGATGTGGCTTACAAATATTTTCATGGCATCTGCTCTGACGAGGTATTTCCACTGGTGCCCCGACTGCTTGAATTTTATCGTTGGCATCTCGGTCCCACCCTTTTACTGTCGAAACAGTTAAATGTAACCGCCACATCTACTCTTCTCTCGCACTTCCCGACAGTGGAACTCCCTTCCATTTATTTGCTTCCCTGATATTTATAATCTTCAAAAGTTCAAATGTAATGTCAATCGACATCTTATGATGCCTTGATCCCCCTTCTTCTTTTTATCTTTTCCCCAATCTCCCCAATCCCCAGACTTTTCCCCTTACTTTTACTCTCTGCAAACCCTTACGTACTAGTGGAACTTCCGCCTTGCTTGGGGTGAAATGCTTGAAAAAAAAAAAAAACCCCAAAAAACAAAAAACAAAAAAAAAAAAAAAACGTCGCGACAGTTCTGCCTGTTTGGGAACGTCTTCCCAGGCCGATATTATCAAGATGTCACCTCCTTGATAAATCGACTATGCTGAGATTCGAAACCGGTGCTCATGGTCAGAAGCTAGCGTTTTAACCACGTACGTGTGTGTGTGTATTAATCATTTCACCACAAGCAAGGCAATAAAGCCACTGAGATACAAGGGTTTACTGAGTGTGAGGCAATATTAGAAAAATATTATTAAAGAGAGAGAACAAGATAAGAATACACTGCTGCCATATATCGTCTGGTTCCCTCGCTGTTCGTCTTAAGGTCCTCGACAAAATCCAGAGACGGATATGCAATGTGATTGGCCCTGATATGGCATCTCGTCTACAGTAGATCTCTCACAGACGTACCGTCGCTTCCCTCTGTCTTTTCTACAAATACTTTCACGGTAACTGCTCCGACGAGCTACTTTCGCTAGTTCCCAGACTGCATGAATTTAAACGTGCCACTAGGTCGGCATCTCGATCCCACCCTTTCATTGTCGAAGCAGTTAAATGCAGGCGTCTCTTCTACTCCAATAGCATCATGTATCGCACCTCTCGTCTGTGGAATTCCCTTCCTATTAATTGTTTCCCTGATAGCTATAATCTCCAACTATTCAAATGTAATGTAAATCGACATCTCCAGATGCCTTTATCTATTCCGGCCTTCTCTTCATCATTTTCTCTATCACCCCTACAATTTTTTAGGATCACTTCACAATATGATCAACAATATTTTCAGTCCTTAAAATGGATATTTAAAAATCTGCAAAATATTTATTAACCAATAAACTTATGAAATTAAAAAAAGCGATCATATTTGTTAACAGAATTAGTTTTTCAGTTAACCTTCGACCAGGGTCGGTCGTTCGTTTTTTGTACAAACTGAAATTCTCATACCTTAATTAATTACTCACATTTTCGCATATTTATTCGTGTATGCCATATTACAAAAAAGGCTTAGTGATATTGTCACATAAAAAAAAATATACGAACCAAATTATTTGTTAACAAAAGAAAATTTTAACATAGCATCAATAACGCAGTTTCGCCTGCCGTCCTGGCTACGTCTTTTCAGCTACTGACAGTTACAAAATTATACGCACACATAAAACAACGTAAATACGGGACACATACATTCTCATATGTAGACACATCCCGTTTCTTCTATACTAAAGAAATTGACTCCGTTGTTTCGTAGAGACGACAACAAAAATATTTTGTGTGAAGTTCTTTCGCAAAGAATCTTTGTAATTCATTTTTTTCAGTTTGAGAGAAAATTAAGACTCAACAATAAAACTTATCTCTCTCTCTCACAGTCTCTATAAATATATAAATGTGTGAATGTCTGTCTCTATGTGTGTGTGTGTGTGTGTAATCTACGCCCGTGTGTAAGCAAATTGGTCTGTTTGAGTAACTAATTTGTTAACCATAGACGCCCCTTACACATAAATTATAGAGGTTAATTGGCTTCGTTTCATTTGTTTCAGCCTGTTCCACACCAACGGATGTTTGTTTTCTCATCGATGTCTCCGAGAGCATCGCTCCATCGGATTTCCAACTCCAGAAACAATTCGTTAGCGATCAAGTCCTAACTCTCGATGACCCGAACAGAACTGTACGCACCAGCATTATTCCGTACAGCTCTCACGTCCAGGCAACCATTGGGCTGGAACCGTACAAATCCCCAAACCATGTGGCTCAGCTGATCAGCGAGATACCGTCGAACATAGAGAGCACGGACCTTGCCACAGCGTTCAAGCACATGACCCGGGTTTTTCGAGAAGAAAGTCGCCGGTCGACCAGGAAACTTGTCGTTCTCTTTTCTGGTAGTCGAGTGAAAGATTTCGAGTCGGCCAAACAGGGAGCTTTAATGGCCCGATATATTGGGGTAAAGCTGGTTACGGTTGGATTGGGAAAGGAGGCTAATATGAATCAGTTGAATGCGCTTGCCAAGGATTCAAAATTGACTTTCCATAGTAAAGACATGAAAGATACAGCACAACTGAAAGAAACCCTCACAAATATCATCTGTCCTAGTAAGTATATTCATAATCAGATCATTATTATTTCTTTTGATTTCAGTTGTATACTTATTTCCTCCCGGGTCCCAACCAGAGACCTAAGGTCGAAAATGATATAATGGCATTATAGTAGTAGTAGTAGTAGTAGTAGTAGTATTTCCTTTGATTTCTGTTGTATGCTCATTTTCTTCCGGGTCCCAAATAGAAACCTAATGTCAAAAATGGCATCAAGACATTATTATTATTATTAGTTGTAGTAGTAGCAGTAGTATTTCCTTTGATTTCTGTTGTGGCCACCAATGATGACTCCCGATAGGATTTCCAATTCTCTCAGAATTGACTCGCTGTATAGGTTGAATAAGTCCGGTGAGAAGACACATCCTTGCCTTACGCCCTTTTCCATTTTTTGTTTATCTGCTGAACTCATTTTCTATTCGGAGAGAGTTTTGATTATTCTAATGTCTCTCGCGAATATGTCAAGATTGCAGAGCAACTCTAACTGATGTTTGTGGTGTACTTTGTCGAACGCCTTTGCGTAGTCTATAAAAAACACGTACACGTTCTTCTCCATTTGTATTGCTGTTTCTTTTAACATTCTGAGCATAAATATCGCGTTCCTTGTTCCGGTGTCTTTAACGAACTCGCACTATTCTTGTATTATCCCTGGCCTGATTCTGCTGCGTGCTCTATCCACCAGAATTCGGATGATGAGGTTTGTTATGTGGCTCATTAGGCTGATTGTCTAGTGGAAATCACATTCGTCTGCGTCTGGTTTCTTAGGAAATGCTATGAAAATAGATTTGCTTTGGTTTTCGGGTATATCACCGCTGTTGTAGATTTCATTTATTATTTCTCTGATCTTGTCTATGACGAAATCATCTAAAAACTGCCAGCATCTCTATTACAATTCAGGCTGGCCCTGCTGCCCTGTTTCTGTTCAATTTGGCCATTGCAGCTTCCACTTCGGCTTTTAGTATTTCCGGCACATCGGTATATTTGTGTATTTCTGGCTGTTCCCTTTCGCCGTGGAAAAGATCTCCAATATATTCGTTCCAGCGCTGAAGAATTTTTTCTTTCTCTAATATGAGCGGAACG